TGTTAAGCCTGGATTCCCCAACGTTATGTTAAGGAAAACAAACTAAACAGAACGTGCAGCGAAGTCAGATAGGAAGACAGGTAAATGTGTGAGATAAGTTTTCTAGTTAACACGCAGTAAAAATACAGATACGCTTGTGCTATCAAAAATATAGTTTATTCCATTTAAGAATTATAGCATAGTCATATAAACGGTCCATTAGTCATATATCAATTTCAGTCAAGTCTTGTCGGGGATACTCTATTTGCAAAGTCCGTGTTGAATAGCCAATGTCAGTTCACTTACAATAAATCAGTCCAATCTTTATTTTCTCTCCGTTGAGAAAAATTAACACTCCTTCCTTTCTCCCCTCTCCAGAAAGAACGCAGTCATCAATCCATCCAGTAATTAGGGATCTTCAAGCCAGAGAGAGAGAGAGCTGCATTTGCCTCGCTTCATATATAGTGCTTTTACAACCACACCCTTAATTACATTCTTGCAGTTAAAGTTACACACACTTTAACTAACAAACCATGATACTATATTTATTATTTTTACCCAAACCAGTTAGGGTAAACAATGTTATCCCTAACAAAGGTTTTAAATCTATACCAGTAGACAACGCAACAGTTTTCTTGATCATTTTGAAATTTATATGTCCTATACGTCTATGGAGTAGATGAATACATTTATCATGAGGCTTCTTATTCTCATAAACTGAGTTAACATTATTTGATGGATCATCATTTATAATAAACAAACCATTTTCCAATCTTGCAGTAATAATTTTACCTTGTTTGTCTATTAAACATGTATCTCCCTTAAATGTTACTAGAAATCCTGCTTTTTCCATTTCTCTTACAGATAGCAAATTAAACTTCATTCCAGGTACATATAACATTGGTAAACTTTCATTTATACATGAACAATATGCAGTACCTTCTCCATATGCTTTCATTTTCCATCCATTAGCTAATGATATATGCTGTACACTCTTTCTCATGTTAACAAATCTCTCTTTACTTTTAGTTATACACTGCGATGCTCTACTATCAACTACCCATATATCATGGTTTACATTTGTAGTTATATTTGATATTGCTAAATTAACATTCTTATGAACTCTCTGTATATTTTTCTGTTTCTTACCCTTTTTACAGTATCTGGCTATATGTCTTTTAGCCCCACAAGAGAAACATTTCCTAACAATATAGGCAGTTGAAGACAGTTTTTCTTCCTGTGGTTGTCTTTCTCTCAGTTGAATTCTATCTTGCCTTCTTCTTGACTCTTCTAACAGTCTTCCAGTTATGCCAGTCAGTATAATTTCATCTCTGTTTAAAACTTCCAGTGAAGACACATAATCATCATAAGTTTCATCCAAAGAAGAAAGAATAATATAAAACTGTTGCAACTCAGAAAAAAAATCAGTTCTTTTTCTTGTAGCTCCTGAAAAGTCCTTTTCATAAACTCCAAATGAGCTAACATATCGCCACCTTTTATGACGAGCTCGAAACAGTTTATGTGTAAGGTATATGTGTGCACTCACAGTATCTCGAACATAAATCTTCTTCAGAATGCCCCAACATCTAGCAGCAGATTCTTGACTGCGAATATGGACTAGCTGCGGATCACTCAGTGTCAGTCCAATTATACTAAGAGCCTTTTCATTATCCCAGTTAAATTCATCTATTTTCTTTTTATCTTCATCATTCGATGAATCCAAAGTTGTTACATCCGGTGGATTATTCACTACAGTCCAGTTTTTTTTTTAATTTACGCAGAAATAGGCTGCACTTCATAGACCAGGAAACATAATTTGTTCCATTCAACTGGGTTATCAGGGATAGAGTGGTTGACTGTTCTTGTGCCACTGTAACAATAAACCACAAATAGCTGTCTGAATATGAAACTGTATATTCACACTGGTTCTCAAGATCTCACTGGGCTCATAACCAATGTTAGGATATGTGCAGAGTAACCCTTGTATAAAAAGGATATGCACATGGAAAACAGTTTATGAGAACAGTTATGAAGAAATATACAGCCACACAGAGTTGACCAAATTGTATTAATGTTTACTTGAAGTAGCACAGTCCAATAAACAGTCCATGTCATACATGTTTTTAACAATCCAGAGATATCCAGTTATAAAGTCTTCTTACCAGTTCCATGTCTTTTACAGCAGACAAATATCAAACCATAATACAACAAATAACCTTCGATATCAACAGAATATCAAAATAAACAGGGTTAGTCAGTATTGGTCCATAGTTCAGTCAGTATCAGTATCAAGAGAGATCATCAGTGAAAAAGAAAAAAAGAAAAAAAGAAAGAGAATTAAACCATGATCTATAGCTCCCTCTTATGGCAACTTGTAGCATAATTAACCAGCCAGAACACAGCATAATACATAATTTAAATCCTTTTAGGTGTGATCAAGTGGGAAGAACAAATGGGGAGTGGAATCTCACTTTTGAAAAGTAAATAAATCATACTTAAATATAGATGCCATCAATAATCAAGGTCATAATTAAAATGGCACTTGCCCATTGTTTTTATTTTCATTATGAAATTCATATTCCTTGGTCAGACAATAGGAAGGATCAAGCTAAGAAAAAGCTCAGCCTCTGTAAATACGAAAATTCATAAATGTAACTAACTTTCTAGAATTAACATACCTTCCAACCCAAGCTTATCTCTGTATGGAAAATTAGGTCATTTCTCCTCCTAAAGCTTTCTCCAAAGTCCATGCATCTATCTTGGCTTCTCCCCTATGTGGATCCTTAGATGGCCAGTAAGGGCACCTGTCTGACTAAAAGTCTTTCCACACTGTGTGCATTTATATGGCTTCTCTCCTGTGTGGATTCTTTTATGGCAAGTAAGGGCACCGCTCTGACTAAAAGCCTTTCCACACTGTGTGCATTTATACGGTTTCTCCCCCGTGTGGATTCTTTGATGATATGTAAGAGAACGGTTTAAAGTGAAGCCCTTTCCACACTCTGTGCATTTATATGGTTTCTCTCCTGTGTGGATTCTTTTATGGCAAGTAAGGGTACCGCTCTGACTGAAAGTCTTTCCACACTGTGTGCATTTATATGGTTTCTCGCCCGAGTGGATTCTTTGATGATATGTAAGAGAACGATTTAAAGTGAAGCCCTTTCCACACTCTGTGCATTTATATGGTTTCTCCCCTGTGTGGATCCTTCTATGGGAAATAAGAGAATAGTTTACACTAAAGCCTTTTCCACATTCCATGCATTTATATGGTTTCTCCCCAGTGTGGGTCCTTTTATGGCAAGTAAGTTGATGGCTGTGACTGAAAGACTTTGCACACTCCATGCATTTATATGGTTTCTCCCCGGTGTGGATCCTTTGATGATTTGTAAGAGACTGGTTTAAAGTAAAGCCCTTTCCACACTCCATGCATTTATATGGTTTCTCCCCCGTGTGGATCCTTTGATGGGAAGTAAGGGCAGTGCTCTGACTAAAAGTCTTTCCACACTGCGTGCATTTATATGGCTTCTCTCCTGTGTGGATCCTTCGATGGGAAGTAAGACCAGTGTTTTTGCTGAAGCTCTTCCCGCATTCCATGCATTTATATGGTTTCTCCCCCGTGTGGATCCTTTGATGGGAAGTAAGGTTACTGCTCTGACTAAAAGTCTTTCCACAGTGTGTGCATTTATATGGCTTCTCTCCTGTGTGGATCCTTTTATGCCTAGTCAGTTTACTGTGTGTACAGAAGCCCTTTCCACACTCCATGCATTTGTATGGTTTATCCCCTGTGTGGATTGTTTTATGTTTCACAAGAGACCCATTATCTCGAAAGCCTTTTCCACACTCCTTACATTTATATGGTTTCTCCCCTGTGTGGATTCTTTTATGGGCAGTAAGATTGCTTTTGCGTATAAAGGTCTTTCCACATTCCATGCATTTATATGGCTTCTCTCCTGTGTGGATCCTTTCATGGGATGTAAGATTACGCTCTTTGTTGAAGCCCTTTCCACACTCTATGCATTTATATGGTGCATCACCTGTGTGAATTATCTTATGTCTCATCAGGGATGCAACTTTATGGAATCCCATTCCACAGTCCATGCATTTATATGGTTTCTCCTTCTGGTTCCTTTTCTCAGCAGTAAAAGTCTTCCTTTCACAGAAGCTCCTTCCATTCTCTATGCCTTTCTCCAGATTCTCCACGAAGGGAACACTTTTATGCCATAATAGAGACCCATTTTCCTGAGAAAATGGAAAATCCCAATTGTAGTTTTTTCCATTGTCTTTGCATGTATTATCTTTTCCTTTAGATGTGGAGGGACAATGTTCTTTGATCTCTAATGTGTCTTTGGATAATTTTATAACTTTCCTAATATATTTTTTCTGTATTTTTCCCCCTTCGTCAAGAAATTCCTCCATGTGAGCTTCAATGGAAGATGAGCTTTCCTTATTCCAAATATTTGAGGGGTTTCTCTCCTGCTTTTGGAATTCCGTTTCAATTGCAGGTTTCTCCATTACGTCTCCATGTGTGAACCCTTGGAATGATTCCCTTGGCTCTTTATGGTCCTGCTCATTATCACCTTCAAGGGGAAAGAGAAATAAATATGAGAGCAAGGTTAAAGAAAAGGACCAGTCGGAAGTCATCATTATCGCCTTCTGAAACTTTGCAAATTCTAAGATTACATGTTTGATTGTTTACAATGGTATAAATGATAATTCCCACATTAATAAAGCATAATTAAGGACAGCAAACATTCTTGTTTATCCATACATATTCAAATCTCAACAAGAGTCAGCTCTGAGTTGAAGAAAAATCAAAGGAAACATCTGAAGGTGTATTAGGAGAAAACCTAACATGTATTGCCAATTCCAACAGAGACTTGCGAGAACTAAATTCCCTTTGAAACTTATCTTTTTCTTCTCACACAAAATATGTTCCCTTTGCATTTTGTGTTTTCCTTGACCAAAATCGCATAATTGAAAGGTGGGGGGGAAACCTAGTATTCTTTATTTACTTTAAATTGCATGTTTGTAATGCAAAACTGGCCCCATTTCATCTCTAATTCCAAGGTGCAGGAGAGAAATCAAATAGAAGTAGTTAACCCACATATCTGAACACCAGGCTGTCATAGCATTTTGACTTTTGTACTACTTCACAGTGCTTTACAGTCCCCTCTAAGTTGTTTATAGAATCAGTCTACTGCCCCCAACAATCTGGGTCCTCATTTTACCAACCTCAGAAAGAGGGAAGGCTGACTCAACCTTGAGCCAGTGAGACTTGACCTGCCAAAGTGCAGGCAGCCGGCAGGCAACTGAAGTAGCCTGCAGAACTGCATTCTAACTACTGTGCCATCATGGCTTCACAGGACTGATATAGAATTATCTGAGCCAAAAGGGCTGAAACCTGTGATGGAGTTTAGCATTTATTTATTTGATTTGTTAATCGCTTACAAGATAATAAGTATAAGCATAAACATAGTTATGAATACATGAAATGGATACATATAAGAAAAATAAAAAGAAACAATAAGACAGAGACGGTAGGCACATTGGTGCGCTTATGCATGCTCCCTACAGACCTCTTAGGAAAGGGGTGAGGTCAATAGTAGATAGTCTAAGGTTAAAGTTTTTGGGGTTTGGGGAAGAAATCACAGAGTCAGTAGAGTATTCCAGACATTGACCACTCTGTTGCTAAAGTCGTATTTCCTGAAATCAACTTTTGTGCAGTTTACCTTGAGTTTGTATCTATTGTGTGTTCTTGTATTGTTATGGTTGAAGCTGAAGTATTCATTGACAGGTAGGACATTGCAATGTATGATTTTATATACTGTACTTAGGTTGGACCGAAAGCAGCGTAGTTCTAGGTTTTCTAGGTCTAGAATATCAAGTCTGGTGGCATAAGGTATTCTGCAATGAGTAGAGGAGTGGAGAACTCTTCTTGTGAAATATTTCTGGACTTTCTCAACTGTGTTAATATCAGATACATAATGTGGGTTCCAGAACATTACATATGTAATGTTATGTAAATCCATTGCATAAAGCCAAGGAATTACTTTGTCACGGACACGTTTAAACAGAAATAGAAAATACATCAGATGCGAAATGGCATCAGAGAATGCCAGAGATTTATTTCCTTCATAGGAGCAGGAGAATGGCGTATTTCTACCTGCTTCCTCTCCTAAGATAACATCTATTTGAGATTTTCTAAAATAAGAAACAGCCAGTGGTATCCAACTACAAAATGTCTTCCTGAAGTCTCTGACTGGAGAATAGGAAAGACCCTTACCAAGAG